ATTTGATTTGAAACTGTCTCATTGCTATCTGTTTATCAATAAAATTTTGAAAAAAATAAATCAAATGTACTCTATCTCATAACCAACAACTGCCTTTTTGTTATTTGTCATAGTCAGGGCTTAGAAAGGAAAGGATTTAACACAGTTTATTGAATTACAAATGATTTATAGGATTCCAGATAAGCGCTTATTCCACTGAGCCATCTCCCTGGCCCCTAGGATTCACCCAAAGAGCCAAATGCAAAAGGTTGCAGAATGGGGCCGGGGAGATGGCTCAGTGGAATAAGCGCTTCCCTGGCAAGCGCAAGGGTCTGAGTTCAATCCCCGGTTTGGCCAAAAAAAAAGGTTGCAGAAGATCTGCCCACTAGAGACCCAAAGAATCCGGCTGAGGCCTGGGCTCCACAACAACGTCTCATTCAAGTCTGTATCAAGGATCAGTGCTGGGAAGCCCAAAGGTCAAGGGTGGAAGCTAGAAAGTCTGCACCGGAGGAATAAAGGATCTATACCAACAGGCTGAGGGATCTGCAGCCAGGAAGTGATGCTCAAGGTAAGGACAAATACATATTCACAAATATTTATAGCAGCTTACATTCATAACTGCTAGAACTGGAAGTGCTCTAAATGTCTGTAGAAAGCATACTTCACATCTAGACTGCAGAATATGAGCCAGCCAGTCATGAACAACTATGGAGGAAACATAAAGTACATCAGTAAGTAAACAAACGCAATCTGAATCAATTGCAAACTCTGAACCCAACTGTAGGTGATTCTAGAAAAGGCAAGCAATAGAAGAGTGGCTGCCAGGGAGCCCTTAGCAGAGGAAAGTTGCTCTGTTTGATGCTAGGAAGAGCAGATACATGTCACTTGGCATTTGTCCAGACACACTATACAAGACCAAGAATGAATCCTGTGTCAGCGATATAGCAAGGGTAGTAATGTGTCACTTCTACTTCATCCACTCTAACTCTGCGGAAGGATGCTGGTAACCAGGAAGGGACAGGAAATAGATGGGAACTCCTTACCTTTCACTTGACTTTTCTTTTTTTTTTTTTGCGGAGCCGGGGATTGAACTCAGGCCCTAGCGCTTGCCAAGGAAGCGCTTATTCTACTGAGCCATCTCCCCGGCCCCCTCACTTGATTTTACTATAAACCTAAAACTGCCCTAAAGAGTAAAATCTATTTTAAAAAATGGAATGAAGTACTGATGCTACAGCATAGATGAGTCTCAAAAATATGCTAAGTGAGGGGCTGGAGAGATGGCTCAGTGGTCTAAAGCACCTACTTGGAACAAGCTTGGCAAAGCACAGGGACCACGGTTCGATCCCCCAGCACCACATGCCAGCCAGCTGCCCCCCCTGGTGGGCTGAGCTGGCCACACACACAATAAATAAATAAATAAATAAATAAATGTTTTTTAAAAAAAATATGCTAAGTGAAAGAAACCAGACCCAAAAGATCTCACTTTGTGTGATTTCATTTAAATGAAATGCTCCGGGGGCCAGAGAGATGGCTCAGTAGAATAAGCACTTCCCTGGCAAGTGCAAGGTCCTGAGTTCAAACCCTGTTCCGCTAAAAAAGAAAAGAAAAAGAAATGCTCCGAACAGGCAAACAAAGACAAAAAACAGATTGGAGCAGGGGTGGGAGTGGGGAATATTGCTAAGGTGTAGGTGTTTTTCAGGGGGGTATGAAAATGTTTTCCGGTCGCTTGTGAGACTGGATGCACAATTTTGTGAATACTCTGAAAGCCACCAAGGGGGGCCCAGCCCTAGCTCAGTTCTTTAAGTGGCTGCTTCCACAATGCTGGCAGCCTCAGTTTGCTGTAGTTCGATCCCCACAACACTCCAGCCATGCAAAAGTGCCCTGAAGGCATTCAAGGAACAAAACACACACACACCCCCAAAAAAAAAAAAAAAAAAATCCTTAGGGGCTGGTGAGATGGCTCAGTAGTCTAAAGCACCTAATTAGAACTAATTTAGCAAACACAGGGACCACGGTTCAATCCCCCAGCACCACATACCAGCCAGCCCTGCCCCCTGGTGGGCTGAGCTGGCCACACACACACACACACACACACACACAAATAAATAAAAAAAAAATTTTTTTTAAAAAAAAAGAAAGCCACCAAGCTCTACAAAATATAAACTGGTGAAATGTATAGTATGTGTATTTTTTTATTTTGTATTTTTAGTACAGGGTCTACAGGGTCCCACTACACAGATCAGACTCGTAGTGATCCTCCTCTTTTCAACCTTCCAAGTGCAGGGATTACAGGCGTGTGCCACCATGCCCAGTCTCCATTGCCGTCTTGGTGCACCCCAGGGGCAAGGCCAGCATGGCAAGCCAGGGGATGGAACACCTGGCCCCTGTGTCTGCTTAAGCAGGCGCTGTAATCTGCTATCCACTGAGCTATCTGGCTGGCCCCAAATGTATAATATGTGAACTACATCTCAATATATGTTGTTCGAAAAAATCTAAATACACACATTAATATGTTTTGAAAGCCTAAGGCTGGAGGATTTGAAGTTTGAGGGCACCCTGGCAATTTAGCAAGACCATTTCTCAAAATGACAATTAAAAAGTCCTGAGGGGGGGGGGGAAGCTCTGGGGTGTAACCTTGTGGTAGAGCACCTGCCTAGCATGTTTGAGGTCCTGGATTCAATCCCAAGAACAGCATGCAAAAAAAAAAAAAAAAAGGGCTGGTGAGATGGCTCAGTGGTCTAAAGCACCTACTTGGAACAAGCTTAGCAAAGCACAGGGACCACGGTTCAATCCCCCAGCACCACATGCCAGCCAGCCCCGCCCCCTGGTGGGCTGAGCTGGCCACACACACACACACACACACACACACACATAAATACAAAAAAAAAAAAAAAAACCAACCAGCATGCCTACATAGATAGATAAAACAGTAAATTTTTACCTCAATGTTTAGATGTAGAGTGCAGGCTCTATGTAATATAAACATGCATAGTTAAATCCTGGTTTAAAATCTTAGTCTCATCTTTATTATTATTATTATTATTATTATTATTTTTTTGTGGTACTGAGGATTGAACTCAGGACCCTACGCTTGCCAGGCAAGTGCTTATACTACTGAGCTATCTCCCTGGCCCTCATCATTATTGTAATTAAAGAATAGTTTTTACTTATTGAAGCCTACACAAGCCCCCCAAATGCACAAATTTCCAACTTAGATCTGTCTTAATATCCAATAAAGGAGAACAAAACCAAGAATCCTAGAATAAAAATTAAAAAGTAAAAGAATCCTAGAGTAATTTCCTATGTTGCTCTGGCTAATGACAGCAAGCGCTAAAATTCAGGCTTTTTTTCTGATACTGAGGATAGAACAAAGGGCCTTTGCACTGAGCTACATCCCTAGCCCTTTTTTAAAATGTTGAGACAGGGTCTTATTAAATAGTCTACACAGGCTTGGGGGCCTGCCCAATAGCTCAGCTGTTTAAGTGCCTGCTGAAACAAAGCCTCCAAACTCAAGCTTCTGTGGTTTGAACCCAGATAGTCACGGCAAACCAGAAATGCCCTAAAGGCATCTTCGGGCATCAAAAAAAAAAAAAAAAAGAAAAAAGCCTTCTACCATTTTTGGGGCCAGGGAGATGGCTCAGTGGAATAAGCGCTTCCCTGACAAGCGCAAGGGCCTGAGTTCATCCCCGGTTCAAAAAAAAAAAAGTCTACACAAGCTTAAACTTGTAACCTTCCTGCCTCAGCCTCCCAAGAGTACTAGGATTATTCATGTGCCAGCACAGAACACCAAAACTAAGGCTCTTTTGAACATGCACAAAACTTAAAATCCTCACCTGGGTCTCACAGAGAATGGGTGTCAGGGACAGAGAGGGAGTAGAGAAGATGCTCAGAGCTAGCCTGGGGAAATGCTTCTTCTGAGAGTTAAAAAGTGTATCCCGGTAAGAGTAATGTAAGAGGGCTGGAGAGATGGCTCAGTGGTCTAAAGCACCTACTTGAAACAAGCTTGGCAAAGCACAGGGACCGCGGTTCGATCCCCAGCACCACATGCCAGCCAGACCCGCCCCCTGGTGGACTGAGCTGGCCACACACACACACAATAAATAAATGTAGTAAATAAAAATAATAAGTATTAAAAAAAAAAAAAAAAGTAATGTAAGAATTGCTGGGCCCGGGTAAGAGTAATGTAAGAAGACCTGAGCCAAACCCCGACCTTGTCTCCCAAAGCTGCTAAACGGGCCATGTGGTTCGCTTCCTTGTTTGTTTTGTTCTCTCTGTGTCTCTCTGTCTCTGTCTCTCTGTCTCTGTCTGTCTGTCTGTCTGTCTGTCTGTCTGTCTCTGTGCCTGTTCTTCTGTCTCTGTCTTTTTGAGACAGGGTTTTGCTCTGTAACTCAAGGTGGCCTTGAACTCACTTTATAGCCAGTCTAGCCTCCAATTCATAGTGATTCTCCCGCCTCAGCCTCCCAAATGCTGGGAATACAGGTTTGCGCTGCCACCCCAGGGGGTAGCCCACCCTTCCCATTTCCTATCTACCTTATCAGCCAGGTTCAAGATAACTAGCAAGCAATCAAGAAACAAAGCACATTCGCAAATAGGTAATGGGTACAAAAACAGTGAATCCTTTCCTTTACAGATTCCCTGAAGCATTCTCCAGGGAAATGAGCTCCCTAACAGACAGACAGCCTGAGGCCTGCAATTACAGGCTTTCCGGAACGCCGACTGTGAACTGCGGGAGGGCAGCACCGGCCCCCTGCTGTCCCTAGGGGCAGAGCCTCTCCATCCCCTGCAGAGCACAGCAGAGGAGCGGCTCCAAGCCGCTCAGTGAGCAGACTTCCCCTCCCCAGTACGGAATCCAGACAGAAACACGATTTCACTGGAGGCTGAAGCCAGAGAGAGGACAGTTTCGAGGACGCCCTCCCCAGGTCCGGGCTTAGCAGGTGTGCAGAGCCTGCATCCCCAGAGACAGGGTAGCAGCAACACAGCAGAGCAGGGAGAGGCCGGGCCCTCACCTCCGGTATCAGTCTCCTCCTCTTCGCACTGGGGACACAGTCCAGCTGGCTGTCGCTGCCCAGCTGCCGGCGTTTGCTGGATGCTTGGAGGGCGGTGAAGACGCTGTCCAGAGGGTGCTTCTCTGTGGGCCTGGAGCTCAGGGAGCAGTCCAGAGCGGCATCCTCATTCTCCGTCTCCACCTTCACAGTGTTATTTTTTAGAACTGCAGTAGAGAAGAAACAGGGCTCAGTAGGAAAGGTCAGGCCTGCTCTGCTGAGACCAGCAGGCATTTGTGGGCCAAGCTCTAGCTGTGTACCAGAGAATGAAGTCTAATCACACAACTCTGTTCCTTCCAGCCATGTGATTTTTAATGACTGCACTAGTGCTATGTGATAAAGCCATATTCCAAGTTCAAAATTGGTTTAAAAATCTGTTGCAAGACAGAGAAAAATAACCAAATATTATCTTTTTTGGTGCTACTAAAACATAACTCTGGGACAGGAATAGTGGCACAGGATTAATCCCAGTACCACAGGAGGCTGAGGCAGGGGGATTACAAATTAAAGCCCAACCTTGGTGATTATTAGCAATTTAGCAACACCTAATACCCGTCTCAAAACAAAACATGAGAGAAGGGCTGGGGGATAGAGCTCAGTGCAAAGGTCCTGGGTTCAATCCACAATACCACAAAAGAAGTAACTGAAAAACTATAAGGTGCTCCTAACAATGTATGCAGATAGAGAGGGATGGGAACAAGGGGTTGAAGGAAACCTTTACTTATCTTTTTGTATTTTTGAACTATGTGAATATATATAGCCTGCTCAAAATTGTTAAATTAAAAACTTTTACCTTCTTCTACATCTTCACTGAATTCAGTTGAGTTCATCTTCTATTCCACTAAATGAAAAAACAAAAAAGTCTTCATTTATTGCTTGATTTTTTTTCCTTATTGTTCCCTACCCACAGAGAAACCCTTGACCTGAAGCCCTGGCACTGGGGAATAGGAGGTCAGAGGCTGGGGATGGGGGGCTGCAGGTACTGCCTCTGTGGCCCAGGAAAACTGGAAACACCCATGGAATGCCACTTACTGGCCAGGGGAACATTCTTCCAGCAAATCAAGTCTTAGAAAAGCCCTCTAACTAGATGATCCCTTTTTGGTCTCTGCTTATAAATCCTAGGCATGAAATGAAAGGCTAAAGAAGAAGGGCAGCTGTGAATTCCAAGAAACCAAGCTGAGGCCTTAATACCCTGGATGACCTGTAGCCACCAGCCACTCACGATGTGGCCCATGCAAGTGGCAATGCGTTAAGTATAAAGTACACACCAGATTTCAGGCTTAGACTAGGAGAAGGGATGTAAAGCATTGCCTTAGTAATTGTTGCATACTTATTGCATGCTATAATGCTAGTATTTTGCACTTAAGGGCTAAATAAAATATTTCATCAAAACACACTTGACCTATTCTTTACATCTGGTTGCTAGAGAATTTTAAACTACATGGAGTCCCATTAATTTTTATTGTGTGGCACTAAGCTAGCCCTTTCTACAGAAGCAACAAGGGGAAAAGGCACAGACGAGGGCTTCAGAGCACCCAGTCACTCACAACAGACCCGGAGAGGATGAGGCAGGAAGCACGCAGTGGCACTACTTAGCAGAGCCAGCTCTGACCGCCAGGGCTGCAGCCAAAATGAAACCTATTCCACTGTCAGTATCACAACTAAGTGTTTGGAATTCCTCACATCCCATGCAGTATGTGTATGAACTGTCCCGGGCACAAATGAGGTAGTGACATTTGGAACAGAAGGTTCCAAATTGCAACCTTTAATGTTGCCACTGCATTGCTGTGGTTCCCACAGTGGCTTCACGTAACTACAGAGTTCTCATTTTTGTTGAAAAGCACAGGAAGAAGCACCTGGAAACATCTCTTGTGACACTTCTGTCAGAGAGATGCCAGCTACAACATTCACTAACTAGGCAACAGGCAGCCAGGGAATGATATGTGTTCAACATATTGATAGCCCTCTGTTTTAGAGGGGTGAACGATGTGGCATAGGTGATCTCACTCACAGTAGTGACTTCAAAATCCACTAAGCATGGGAAGAGGTGGGGTACTGTCCTCAGAATATCCCAATAACATGGAAATAGGCACAGTTCTTGTCATTTCTGAGTTATACTACCTCTCAGTGCACGAAGAAAATATCTGAAATTAAAAATAATTCTTACCATGCTTGAAATACCTGTCCAAAAAAAAAAATTCTTGCCAGGTGTGGTGGTACACACCTGTAATCCCAGCACTAGGGAGCCTGAGGAAAGAGGATCATTGTGAGTTGGAGACCAGCCTGTACTACATAATGAACTCAGGGCCAGCCTGAACTACATAGTGGGAGCCTGAGGAAAGAGGATCATTGTGAGTTGGAGACCAGCCTGTACTACATAATGAACTCAGGGCCAGCCTGAACTACGTAGTGATACCCTGTCTCACAAAAAAAAAAAAAAAAAAAAAGAAAGAAAGAAAAAATCAAAAAGACAAATAACATTTTTTGCTCATAAAGCTGTCTCCTGTCTGAAAAACGTCCAAAGTAGAGTATTACTGAAGTAAAAAACTAAGTCCACTTCAAGGATCCACACACTTTTATCTGGCAAAGTTCTGCAATTATTCCATTGTATTTCCAGAAATAAAGTTTGCCTGCCTGCTGGGTACACCTGAGGGCACAGGAGAGTGGGCCAGGCAGGCTCAGAGTCACCAGCTCCTGCCCAGCTAGAGGCCTAGCAAGAAACACTTCAGGCCAACTAGTGCCCTCAGAAACTGCCACATGACCACATATCAATCCCCTCCCAACAAAGGCAAGAGTGAGAAAGCAGAACAGAGCACAGGCCATCAGAGGCAGGGGCAGGGTACAAGTTACATTCTTGAGATTAAAAGGAGGAAGCAGGAGAGATGGCAGATGATTTGAGAAAAAAAAAAAAAGTGGCGAAAAAATACTTCAAAGATTCTGGAAAAAAAAAAAAAGATTCTGGTTAAGCAGAAAAGTGTTGAAAGAAATGAGTGAGCTGGGGCTGGAGAGATGGCTCAGTGGTCTAAAGCACCTACTTAGAACAAGCTCGGCAAAGCACAGGGACCGCAGTTCTATCCCCCAGCACCACATGCCAGCCAGCCCCGCCCCCTGGTGGGCTGAGCTGGCCGCGCGCGCGCGCACACACACACACACACAATAAATGTAAAAAAAAAAAAAAAAAAGATAAAAGCAATGCTAACATTAAAAAGAAAAAAAAGAAATGAGTGAGCTGAACCTACAACCCCAGCACTTGGTAGACTGAGGCAGGAGGAGGACCAGCCTGGGCTACACACCAAAGGCTCCGTTTCCACAAAGTAAAAATCAAAGGGTGAGCAAATGCTAGAAGGAAGGGAAACAAAAGGCCAAGTGCGGTTGGTATACACTTATACTCCTAGCACTCTGGATAGCTGAGGCACGAGGACTACAAATTTAAGCTCAGTCTGGGCAATTTATCAATTAGGCAAGACTCTGTCTCCCCGACTCATAAATAAAAATTAAAAAACAGGTTGAGAATGTAGCTCAGTGTGAAGGCCCTGGGTAGCACCACAAAAAAAAAAAAAAAAAAGCGAAAAAGAAAACAAGGGAGCTGAGGAGATGGCTCAGTAGAATAAGCACATGCCTGGCAAGGGCCTGAGCTCAATCCCTGGTTCTGCAAAAAAAAAAAAAAAGAAAGAAAGAAAGAAAGAAAAGAAAAGAAAACAAGATTGGATAAAAGCATCACAGGGAAGACTAGAGGAACAAAACAAGGATGTACTGTTTATCTGCCATGAAACTTGCCCACCCTTGTTCTTCTGGTGCTTGTCAATAGGAGCTACGTGGAGCTACCATCCCGGACACTGAAATGGCAAGTTAGCCCTACTCCCCACCCCCCAGCCCCACCCGTGAAGCTCTGGAAGCCACAGGGGAGCACATACAGCCCCTGCACAGAGGGCTGCAGGATGTCAAGGATGCCTAGGAGCCCAAAGGCCTGGGAAGAAGTGGGAGAAAGGGCCAGCTGCCTTAGCATCTATGACATCCAGAGTGCATCTGCCTTGGAAGATGGTTCTTTCAACTTTGCAGAACATCAACAGATGCTAGGTAAGCAGGAAGCAGCCTGAGCCATCCAGACAGCTACCCGCTGGGCAGAAGGCCAGCCTCCCACGGTGCGGTGGGCAGTGCCGGGTGAAGGTCCTCTTCGCATAGTAGCCCACAATCTGCACACTGAGCACCTCCAACTCACTCTGAGCTAAGTGAATCCCAACATCACCATGAAAGAAACCCAGGACAGGCCACCAGCTCAGTGTCACAGAGAGACAGAGTGGCAGAACCAGGGCTGAAGGTGAGTCTATCTGTACCTCTGTCAGCCAGCCAGAGAAAGAGCAGCACCCTCCTTTTTGTGCCTTCGATGAACCCAGCCTGGCTGGGCTCAGGGCTCTGTCCAGCAGCACCAGGGAACCAATCCACACTTCCTTCACCACAGAGAAGCTACCTGGAAATTCAGCCTGCTTGGGGCTTGGAAGAGACTCCACCCTGCCCTGCACAGAAGTTTCTGCACGGGGACGTGCAGGTCACTCCCTGCATCCCAAAGCCAACTAGTGACAGCTCAGCAACAAGCCGCGGCCGGGGAGAAAGGAGAGAGGTATCATGTTGCTACCTCCATTTCCTGGTCATCCATCGGTTCAGTGGAAGGTCACGAACTCTGCTCTTCGTGGGTAGACACGAGCAGCCAGATGCCGTGCATGCCACAGACATTCCTTCCCATTGTGTAACTGTAGGTTAGGAGAAGCCACGCAGCCAATACTGTCCCTACAGCATCAGGCTGCTGCCACGCCTGTGTCTTCCACCTGCTGGCCTGCGTGTGATCTTTCAGTGTCTCCTCCCTCCAAAACCTTCCCTCTCAGGACAAAACTCAATCCGGGCATCACTCCTTATGCATGAAGCCCACTCAAATTTGCTTTCTCCCCAGAATGGCTGTCCACTCTGGCAGGAACAGTAGCAAACATCTGAAGTCCAGTGCTCAGGTGGTTGGGGTCACCAAGGTCCTGTGCCAGTCTGCACTATAGAGTAAGACCAAGAGCAGCCTGGACTACACAGTGAGACCCTGCCTCAAAAAAATCAAAGCAGCTGGTTATGGTGGCACACACCTATAATCTCAGCACTTGGGGCTGAGGCACGAGGATCACCTCAAGTCCGAGGCCAGCCTGACTACACAGTTCAAGGCTAGCATGAACTACATAGGAGACTGTCTCAAAACAAACGAAGAAGTCTTCCTAGAGATATTCTGCATCAGTGGTTCCCAAGCAGGGGAGTGTGGAGAGGACTCAGGTGGCGGTGTGCTCCCACTGTACGTGTCCTCCTCCAACTTCACCATTAGAAGGCTGGCAGCCTGAGCCGCCTGGGAGAATGGAGAGTGGAATGTGTACCACCCAACAGACACCGCAGCCAGGACTCTTTCTGAAGACTGAGGAGGCAAACTCACCCAAACAAGACCCCCAGTTGGAAACATTTTCAAACTGTTTCGGGCACCAGCTGGCAAGCATGAGGTCCTGAGTTTGATTCTTGGTACCAAAAAAAAAAAGCCCTGTCTTTTCCCTCCCATTCTCTGTGTGGAGGAGCTCCCCAGAGACCACAGCTGGTTCACAGGAGCCCAATGACCGAGAGCGCCAGGACAGCTGCGCTCATCCCTGTGTCCTCACACCAGGGCTGCCTGCCTCTGGCCTGTGCACTAGTGCAGCGTGCCACTCCACAGGAGCCAAGCCCAGCCCTCAGTGGCCTCCTTTGCAAATCCCGCTAGGGATGTCAATAGTGTTGCTCATTTTATTAGGTTCTTTAAAAGTACGCCTACACCCAAGTCATAAAAAT